GACTGTTTGTTTCAGCCTCTTAATGGTTCAGATGTCTGAATGGTTAAGAGATTTGCCTCTGAATGGTTAAGTATTATACAGAGTCTGAATGGTTAAGACCTCTTATCTGAATTGATCAGACATTTGCCTCTGAATAGTTAAGCAATATACTAGCTCTTAATGGTTCAGACCTCTTACTGGTTCAGCACTTAATGGTTCAGACCTCTTACTGATTCAGCACTTACCCATTCAGAAATTGCCAAAAGCCCCTAACTTTTAATGAAGCACATTGAGTCAATGCTAGAATTCGAAATGCGATAACCGAATTTTAAGAGGCACCCTTATACCACTCGGCTCCAAGATCTTGTGCCAAATAGTTCTTTGTGATAATAATAGAGAGTTGTAAATAACGTATTATTTTAGAAACAAGGAATGTTATAAATAGGAGTAAAATACAATCAAAATATCAAAATAGAAATTGTATACTCTGTAGTTTTTATCCTCCAAATAGAAATTTGACAATGTAAATGATAGCAGTGTAAGGACAATATAGAGTTGTGAATGATGACAGTGTAACAGTGGCAATGCGGTGGTGGATCACCGGTGAACGGTGGTTAACGCCGACGACCCACGACAGCGCTTCGATGGAAGTGTGGCACTTTGGAATGTGGGAGATTGAAAGTGGTAATGTGAAGTCCTATTTAATAACAAAAAGAGTCGTCCTCATATTTTAGTATTTTAACCATCTTTTTAGGTGTCCTCATCTTTAATAACAAAAAGAGTCGTCCTCATATTTTAACCTATTTAATAAATAATAACCAAAACAAAAAAATAAAAATTAAATTTAAAAATTATTAATAAATAAAATAATAGCAATAGTAAAAATATAAATAAATAAAGTATCAAATAACAACCAAAAAATAATAAAAATAAAAAATTTAATTATAAATTGTATAGAAAAAAATATTAGTGAAAATAAGATAATAATAGTAGTAATAATAAAATAATAATAGTAATAAAAAATAAATAAATGAAAAATACTTTAAATAAATACTCTCTCCGCCTCTAAAAGATTGCCATAATTTGAGTTATTTGGTTAAATTGTGGCATTCTTTGACCACGAATCAAAAATATATCTAAATATACTTTTTCCATAATTTACTGTTAAAGGGTGTCACAACTCGATCAAAAAAATCAAACTGTCACAATTTTTTAGAAACGGAAGGAGTAATAAATAATAAAAATTATAAAAATAAGAATAAAAGTTAATGTTTTCTTTTCCGTCTCCCAACCAGACAAGGTGAACGGATGCACTCTCATCATTTCTCGTTCTTTCCCATCTATTCCTTCTCTCTCTCCCAAACAAACATGCCCTTATTCCAATTTAGGCATTTCTCTGTCTGGAAATTGGAAGTTACCCATATATATTACGTATAAGAGTTGTTCTTCCATCGTATTAAGATCTACATATGAAATGTAGATCTTTTCACAGATTTCATGAGCTGACAAATGGTTCATTTCTTTTTTATATATAAAAGATTTAGTTTTTTATAATACCAATGCATTAAAGTTCATAAAATGCACATGAATATTAGGATAAGGTAAGAATTTTCTTACGTATTACCCTGTATGTATTGCGCAATATATTGAGTTAGGAGTAATATATTGGGTTACATTTAGTTTCAAAATTAAGTTTTACAGTGTATAATGCAATAGTTTAACTATTAATATACTCGACCATATAGTCTATACTTCATATGTACGTATTTGCTCCCGTATTTTCATTTTAAATTTTTCGTATTCATATTTTCTTCGTATGTACTTCCTCTATCCCAAAAAAAATGTCACACTATCCAATCAATTAATAACCTAAAAAAATGATCTACATCTTTTTAAAACAGATTTTGATTACTCGGAGTATTATTTAATACTCCGAGTATTTTTTAAAAATTTTATGAAGTCAAACTATGTTAATTAGTTTGACCGGGAAGTATGGTCAACTGCTAGATCTGCGGTGATAAAATTCATTCCCAAACAGAGTAATTTTCGGGAAAAGGAGTATATTTTACTGCATAATTTGTATATAATCGGTATATATAGTCCAGGTTAAAAAAAAATCATGTTACTAGTTTCACAATTACATTTACTCCCCTAGTAAATTTACATCCCCTTGATAGATACGGTGTATTCTAATTCCTAAAGTAAATCTAACTTTGAATTTCTTTTGAGTTATTTTGAAAGGATCTTTTATGCAATCGAGGGAAGTGTAATCTAATAAAATAATCTTCCCATTGAGACTTACTCCGTATATGTTAGCGAGTTCCTTTTCACTTTCATATTTTTCTACTTCTTTTTCCAGGATGTTAAATTTTTTCTCGTATTCCTACTAGTATAATAGAAATCTCAAATATCTGGAGATCATATTTTTACATTGACTCTTTGTGTCAAAAGAACTATCCGTACAAATTTTAATTGACTTGTATATACTATATAGTACAATAAAATTAGGAAAATTTCAAATAATAAAAGTCTGTGTGATCTCTAATAAGCATGTGGTCATATTTGAGATCATCATTTTTGGGATTAATTACCCTAGCAGAGTTCTATATAGTATGAAAATTTGAATGGATGTTTGGAAGATATAGTGTGGAGTATGTACATTGAAGTTTGAAATTTGAAAGTTGATGTCTAAATGGTGTCAAAATATGTCTGAGTAGTTTGGAAGTTATAATATGAAATCCAAGGAGGGAGGATATGTGAATGACTAAAATTATAAGTTTAAAAAACTTCCCCCTCGTTTGAGTGGTAGCAAACCCACTTCCAATCCAAAGATTCATTGGAAAATTCACTCAGATCATTATCAGTTGCTTCTTTTGACATTAAGACCAATGTGATAATATAATATATTGGCTCAATCCGGACACCTACGATGTCCCTTTTGTAAAATTAATGCTTCATGGTCTTTAACCCCGGGTAAACTCCCAACACCGGACCGACTCAAAGTAACCCCCACCCCCTTCAATTACATCATATTTTATATTCACTCTCTACACTTCTCATTTGAGGTGTGTTAGGGATTCACCAAGTTGTCAGGATTGTATATGGATGAGGAACTATGTTGCGAAATAGCATTAGAGAATCTAGTGAATGAAGAACCAGAGGTGAACGACTTTGATGGATTATAAAGAATCGTGTAAAACACTTTCAGATCAAAGTTATTTCAAAATGTATAAAAATACTTTAACCAGAGGACTTTAATTCAAAAACAAGCACTCGAAATCGATACCTCAACCATACTCGCATATCTATGTTTATAGAAACAGAAAATTCATGAGCGTGCATGTACATTCCCGTAAAGAAGCGTTCGTGCAAATAGTTGCTTGTAGTTTTGGGCCAAGTTTGGTTGTATATCCATACGTTCAATTTTTAAATGGTTTGTACTCCCTTCACGAAAGTTTGAAGAATTTGCGTATAACATCTAAAATAAAAAATTCCCAAAATTGGAGTTACCGCCCCTTGGACCCCGCTATGAATTTGTAATATCGTTGAACGAGCGTGCACTACGCACCTCCTAACTTGTTTGACAATGTTTATTCATATTCTTATCTAATCCAACTAAGTTCAATTACACAAAATAATCGATGACACTAAAATTACCAACACAAGTTTGTATCCGAACTTACATATCATGTGTATCACATATACATAGATAATAATTGTCTGCAGATGCATAAAAATTATTATCTGTGTGTGTCTGTAATACACTAAATTAAAAATTGAGGTATAAACTTGAGTATTCCTAACTTTTCTCTTCTTAACTTTTCTCTTCTCATCTACACCAAACAAAGATAATATTCAAACCGGTGTGTAACACGCTGTGTAGCTGGGATATTTTAAATTTAAAACTAATTTATAAGAAAGGATCCAACATTATTTTCCATCATAGAGAGTTAAAGACAATTATAGAGACTCCAAATGTCCACTCAAGTTTTGTCCGTTTTATTGTGTGTACATTATTCAAAACCGAAAAACACGATTACAAATAGAAAAATTTGCATTAAATAGGATTAAAACATAAATTATTTTTCAATTTAGGACTTAAAATTTTTTATTCTCTAAATAAGACTGAATAATGTCTAGTAGAACTGTAGAAGAAATAATGTCCAATAATGGTGTATATTTACTTGAATAATGACTAATGAATAATGACCAATTGTTCTATATTGGAAAATAAAAATATATGGTCCTATATATTGAGAAAATCATTATGTTTTATTCCTATTTAAGTAAATTACCCTTACAAATATTAGTTGACAATTATTTGGAAAAATAATTACTATTTTCTCTTCTAAAATACTTCCTCCGTCTCTTAAAGTTCTTCCCATTTGACCTTTTAAGAAAATTAAAGAAAGAATATTTTTGTGTTGATTTTCTAAAAATACTCTTGATATGATAACTAAAAATATGATATATTGGGTAGATTATTCGTAAAAAAAAGTATAATGTGATAGGTACGGTAGTGTAAGAATTAGCAGGGGTAAAAGTATTTTTTAATAGAAAGATGAATGACTTTATGAGACAAAGAAAAAAAGGAGAAGAAGTTTAGGAGACGAAGGGAGTATTTTTTTTTAGCTCAAATATCACTATGTCACCTCTAATGTTAATATTTACAATTATTTGTGTATAATTATTACTACCTTCATCCATGAATATTTTTTAGTTTCTGACTTTTACAATCAACCAAATTGAACATTTGAAATATAATTAAATAAATAATATATGATCTATTAATTAGATAAAATAATGTTTTGAAAATATTCTAATTGATACACGTGGTTAGAATTTATCAATTTTAACAATAAAAACAATTAAAATTGGACAAATACTTCGTCATACTTCGTCAAAGAGATAGTAATAAAAACGAAAGTGCATGATATAGTTGTTTTAAAGGTAAATTCTATGGTGCACCTAAGGTCAACCATAAACCTGCATATAAAAAAAATAAGCAAATCCCAACTACCTAAATGAGCATTTATTTTAATTAAAAATTAAAAATTTAAAAAAAGTTTTTAATGTAAGAAGGTGCACAAAATTGGTATGCACCCAAAGGGTGCACCATAGAATTACTCTTTTTGAAAAGAAAAGAGAATTTGTGTGAGTCACAATTTTTTCTTCTAAGTGTTGTCTCATTGTGGTTCCAACAACCACATTCAAAGGTAGATCATCATGTCACATATTTCTTATGAGCTTAGAATTGAATCTCTTTCTTTTTACATGACCTAATACAGTAATACATACTATGGAGTAATATTTTATGTATTACGGTTCATGAAAAAATCGTGAAATTAGAGGTCACAAAATAAGTTGTAGGACTTATTTGGGAATAGCATTTTCGATTAATCAACGTTAGCATTTTGAGTAAAAATTTAATGATGTCGATTAATTCTGAAAATGCTAACGCGATGACTATTTTTAAGGAGGGGGGGATAAATTGTAGAACATGATGACATAAATTCATAACTTCAATACTTGTCGCCTAGGTGTCTCGAGGCATTATTATTAATTTATTATTATTATTTTAAAGTAAGAGATTTAAATAGGAAATGCTGTGGACGACAGTAAGTATTTAAGGTGGACTTTGCCTATTTCTTGACTTCGTGCATGAGGTGCATCAAATCATCACCCTCATGAAATTAATTAATTAGTTTAAGCTTTTTTTTTGTTATTGGACGGACCTGTTTTTTTCCACGATTCATTTATTTTTTTAAGAAAAAAACACCCCCTCCCCTCCCCTCCCCCACTAGACTTCGAAAATATAATATTTGACTGAAATTATTTTACAACACGTGTATGAGAAGGAAATATGGAGGAAAAAAGTTACGCCGAGCGATAATTTTATAAGGATTTGCTCTCTCTATCTGAAAACGTCTTCTTTCTGTTTTTGTTTACGAGGTTTGAGCGACTTTATTTTCAATTCAACTTATTTATTTGACTGTAGGTATAAACTTTTAAAAAATAAATTATATATTAAAAAACTACATCGAAAGTTTTACAAAACAAGAAGTGACAAGAATATATTATTTTATCAAATAACTGACAAAACTAGGTAAAGAAAGTGATTATAATTTTAATCAAGTGAATAGTAATTGAGAAGCACGTTTTAGGACGTCTGTTTAGATTGATTTTTTTACAATTAAATTAAACAAATTTCAATTAAATAAAAATTGTATCAAATATCAATATAAAAATGATCTATTTATGTTTATTTTGTAAAACATTATCGCCAAAAATTTTGTGGTTCAACCGCATCCCGATGACAATTCCAAATCAGAGGTCACATTCATGTCATAATTTTTTGTATTATTAAAAGTCAAATTGAACACATAATAAAAAAATAAATTATATGTTGGATTTATCTTGCAAAAATTCATTTTATTTATTAACATACTATCTAAATTTAACAAATTAAATTGAACGAATACACGGAAAAAAGGGAGTATCCCATGATTTTGTTGTGGGCGTGAAAAGAATAGAAGGGCCTGGACCGAAACCAACCTGGACAGACCCATATGACTTTCGCGCAAAAATTAGGGGGGTTCGGTAATTGAATTTCCCGGGAGAATTATTACTGTGAACAAACTATAATTCGCTTTCCTATTTCTTTTCTCCCCATTCCCAACCCACAAACAAATTCCACTTCCTAATCCTCTCTCCCCCTTCTCTCTTCTCCCTTTCTCTCTCTAGTTCTTCTTGGTGTTAGGGTAAATTCCATATCTGGAAAGCTCTCGAAATCCCCATCATGGAGAGCCGCGACTCGCCGCCGTCGATAGATCTCCACCGCCCTTCCTCGCCGTCGTCGTCGGAGCTGAACAGTTTCGACCCGACCACTCCGGCCCGGATCCGGGTTGATTCCCGGCGGAATTTGTCGCACACTCCCTCGCCGTGCCGGACCATTTACGGCGATCGCTTCATCCCCAGCCGATCTTCGTCCAATTTCGCGCTATTCAATGTCTCCCTGCCTCCGCATTCTTCGTCGCCGGAGGATTCCGGCAATGCGTACACCGCGCTGTTGCGGGCGGCGCTGTTCGGGCCTGATCCGGGGGGGCTCTTGCCTCCCTTGACTCCCGATGGCTCTGCCCGTAATTCGTACTGTGCTCCTCCGAATCGCAATATTTTCCGGTTCAAAACTGAAACTCGGAAATCGATGGATTCTCTGTTCCCCTTCGCGTTTGACGGTGATCAATTTCCTGGGGTGAGTGCTAGCCCTGTCAAGGCTCCCAGGAAGGTTGCCAGATCTCCCTTCAAGGTAAAATCTTTGATCTTGATCTGTCAAGGTAATATTGTTATTTTGTGTTTTTATTAAAAACAAAACACAGTTGTTTGTCAGAATCTGACTTCCTGATCTGATTAGGTGCTGGATGCACCTGCTTTGCAAGATGATTTTTACCTGAACCTTGTCGACTGGTCTTCCAATAATGTTTTAGCTGTGGGCTTGGGGAACTCTGTGTATTTATGGAACGCATCTAGTGGCAAGGCAAGTTCTTTGTTTCCAGATATGGTCTCTCTGCTGGAGTAGTGATCGGCAATGTGTATTTCCTTTGGCTCTTATATGGATTTTAATCTTATTGATGTCAAATATGTATTCAGGTAGTAAAGTTGTGCGATTTGGGAGCTGAAGACAACGTTTCTTCAGTTGGATGGGCAAGCCGCGGCACACATCTTGCTGTTGGAACCAACGCCGGGAAAGTCCAGGTTAAATCTCATAACTTTTTTAGTAGTTTTTCAGTCCTTAATGTAAATGTGTAAGATTTGGTGATTATCATTGGATATCTATATCAAAAAGGATGCTAAAGCATGTCTATGCACCTTTATTCCACTTCTTTCTAATAAAGTTACCACTACCCAGTACCCAGTTGTTGGTGACACTTTCATTGTTTCACATACGGAGTATTTCTTTTGTGTTCATGACTCTTTGTTTGGGTCACAGGGAGTATAGATGAAGTTCCTAACTACCTCCTACACAACTTTTTAATGGTGCCTTCTGCAAGTGAAACATACATCTGTGGAGAATATTGTTTTTGTAATTACTTGTTAAAATTTTACGAAGAATAAATATTCAACATTGATCTGGGAATTTCTCTTCACTGTTTTATTGGATCAAATGCATATATTTGAGAAATGCCCAGAACTTTTGATATCTAAATCTCTGTTGGCACATTATTATTAAGTAATTCCACACATCATTGTGCAGATATGGGATGCTTCTCGGTGTAAGAGAATAAGAACAATGGAAGGACATCGATTACGAGTTGGAGCACTAGCATGGAGTTCATCTGTTTTGTCTTCAGGAAGCCGTGACAAGAGCATTTTTCATCGTGATATACGGGCTCAAAATGATCATGTCAGTAAGCTATCTGGTCACAAGTCAGAGGTATTGATCTTTGCTGTTTTCTAATTGCTGGCAGGAAGAATATGCTTTTAGTGATATTGTTCTAACTTGTGATACTATTGGAGTTAGGTATGTGGATTGAAGTGGTCATATGACAACCGGGAATTGGCTTCAGGTGGAAATGATAACAGAGTATGTTTTGTTTTAAATCCTTGTTTTTATGGTTGGTTAATTACGAAAAGAAGAATCTTGATTGAATGTTCTACATGTGTAGCTTTTTGTATGGAACAACCACTCAACACAGCCTGTGCTGAAATATTGTGAGCACACTGCCGCTGTGAAGGCAATTGCATGGTCACCCCATCTTCATGGCCTTCTTGCTTCCGGTGGTGGAACAGCTGACCGATGCATTCGCTTTTGGAATACTTCCACTAACACTCATTTGAATTCCATTGACACTGGAAGCCAGGTGAAAAGCTCTTCTTCATTTTAGGTTTATCAAAATCATGAGAAAAACATTTTTACAATTTGCTGATGCATATATTTTTTGCTTGCAAGTGGAATGGAATCTGACTTTCTATTATTTCTATATTTTTTCCATGTCTCCATTCTGATTGCTCAATTATAGATCTGAGGGATCGGTGCACATCATTTTAGGCAACACTTGTTTCTTGTACAAGTAAAGATTAATACTCCATCCTAAAATATTTGACACTTTAGAGAATTGCACACATATCAAAGAACCTAACAGAATGACTTAAATACCTAAGATTAACTATTAAGTTCTTTTTATTTCTTTTCAATGTACAAAAGCATTTAATATAGGGAAAATTAGTATGGGTAAAGTCAGAAGATTAATAAATAGATTGCACTCCTAAACCGATATTTATTTTGAGACAATAAATTGGGCTAGGTGTCAAATAGTTTAGGACAGAGGGAGCAATAAGCAACGTCGGAATGATGAGTCTGACTGAATGAGAGTGATTTTGAATAGTGTCATGAGAAATTGAGAAGGGATGCACATGAGCATTAACCATTAAATTTGTGGCAATACTCCATGGGTACAGAGCAATTATTTTTTCGGAGAACCTAACCTATATACTTCCTCTTTCATAGGTTAGAAGTTAGAACATTCTGGGGCAAATGTGTTGATAATAAAACCATAACGACACGATGAAGGGGAAATAGGGAAGATTGTTTCATCAAAAAGGGAAGGGTGAAAAGCTCATTCTTGAACAAAAAATGGAAGACTCATGAATAATTTTATATTATTTCAAAAAATAAATTTTAATGAGTAATGATCATACTATTTTATATTTTAGACAATCTGTTACTGCTGACTATGTACATTGTTTTGAGCGCACACATGATGACAACAAAATCATTGTAAATAAGGTGCATGCTACCAACATGTGCTGGAGTTGGTTGGATTTTTCTCTTACATATTATTATCTTGGCAGGTCTGCAATCTGGTATGGTCTAAGAATGTGAATGAGTTGGTCAGCACACATGGGTACTCCCAGAACCAAGTCATAGTTTGGAGATATCCTACAATGTCAAAGGTAGTTCTTTTTCCTAAAATTCTCAATATGCTTTACAAGAATCACCACCAACAAGAAGGCTTTTCTTAACTTTCTTCTACCATTTATTAAAAAGAAAAAGCCCTTTTCCCGGCTGTAATTGCAGGTAGCAACCCTGACTGGGCACACATATAGGGTCCTCTACCTTGCCATCTCCCCGGATGGGCAGGTAATATAATCAAATCCCCTGGATTTATTAATCATCTTAATCCTCATCAAACACAAAGACATGCAGAAAGATTGATTAAGAACCAAATCAATCCCAAATAGGCTATATCAAGGTCATGCTTGTTACAGGATTCGTTCTTTCCTTTTTGCTAATGCCATGTCTTTCTCTTACTCTCAAATTCGCAGACTATTGTGACAGGGGCGGGAGACGAAACACTTCGGTTCTGGAATGTGTTTCCTTCCCTTAAATCTCAGGTAGGAAGATTTTCTATTTCCTATTTTCGGTCAACCACAACTATATTGTAGTTCTCACTTTTGGTCACGACTTTCGCATTTTTTCTCTTTTCATATTGTCCCTTCATAAGTAATTCGTGTTTCATTAAATAGCGTCGAATAACGCGGATAAAATGTTTTGTTGCAGAACACAGAGGGTAACATTGGATCATCTTGTCTGGGGAGAACCCAAATCCGGTGAAAAATTTTCCTCAACTTTCCCCAGATATGCATGCACTATTATAGAGAAAATTTTACAGGCATACAGAGGTGATGATCTCTCTCGCCTTCGCCTTTTTTTTTTTGGCTCGACCCGATTCGGATCAGAAACAGGCAAAAACTGTATACTGGGAGGAGAAGTTATTATCTTACCCCGGAATATTATTTTTATATATATATTTATTAAATTAAATATATAAAGATCAATAACATATCCTCTCACATTCTGTAAAAAAAAAAAAAAATAGAGCTAGAAACACTTATGGGTCTCTGTCAAATATCCAAAATTTTCCACTGCTCAGTGCAATTCTTTCCTAGGTTGTCTTTATTTACTGCTGATGACAAACATTTGTGTAATTTTTTTTTATATAACAAATAATGTCTTGGCTAGCATGCCAAACTACATCTTGTTGGATATGGGTATTTCTTTGATAATTTATAAAAATAAGGCAGAGGACAAAAAATTTCTTGAGAAATACTTATCAGTTGGTCCAATTGAAAGTTTGATTATCCAATTCAAGAAAAGTGCATAATGCTCAATATCCTAGTCTCATTTATCAAGGGACAAATAGATATTTAACTAATGTTTAGTAAGACAAATCTTAGCTAGTCATTTTCACTCCTCTACATGATTCACTTTGTATCCAATTAATGATGTTATGATTGTCATATTATAATTTTTCTATTTAAAAATGTCTTATTTTACAAAATAAAAACATTTCTATTTCGGAGACAAGGGCATCATGGATTAAATTAAAGGAGAAATAATATCTGGGGAATACACCGGTCCACTCCTCACTCTGAGTGAAACGAGAAATCCGCGCCAACAGATACACAGTCTATTCGCATAGTGAGGAACACAAGCAAAAGCGAATTTTTTTTTTCACAAAGAGACATAAAATTTTTACAATCAATAATAATAATAATAATAATAAGAGCATCAACTCCATCTTTGCAGTCTAACTATCACTTCTGGCCAATCTTTCAATTCTATCCAACTCAAAACCTCTTTGATTGTCATGGCTTCCGCATTCCATGCTCTAATGGCGCCCTCTTTGTGAAATGCTCTTTACCGCGATAAATAGACGCTTACAACCTCGCGCAAGAAAACCATAATCCACCCATCAACATTAATTTTAATAACATCTACTGGAGGATTTGTTCTGTACATTCTTGTAGCCGTTGTGAAATCTGATCATAATTAACTATTTGCCACCAATCAGGGAAAGCACGTCTAGCCTTTTGTCAAGTGCCTTGCACCGAAGTCGGGGCACCATGCTAGATCGTGTTGTTCCAATGCTAGAATGTCGAATGTACTTCATTCCAAGCCATCTTGCCAGGCATAGCTAAGTTGAAATCATGCACCTTCTTGAAATTGAGCCCACCGAAAAATTTATGTCGCGTGACCAACTCATCCCCACGTCGAACTTGACCGCCACGATCCCACTAGAATTTGTTCATCATCCTCTCTAAACCCATGCATAAGCCTTTGGGCAACAAGAAAAGAGACATGGCATAACGCAATTGGCCTGAGCTCCCTCACCACTTCTTCGTTCACTGCTTCAAGATAATCTGGGATTATGTTTGAGTTGAGGTGTTGAGTGCGGAATAAAATTTTTATTAAAATTTTTTTCTGTTAAACATTGTAAAAAGTTAGAGCAAACTCCCAAAACTTTTGATACTCTCTTCGTTCTAATTTTTTTTAACTTTTTCTTTTTTGAGTCGTCTAAATATTTCTTTTTCATTTCTTATTCTGGCAATCAAATTTAATTTTAATGAATGCATCATTATATCCTCAATTTTTAACTACATTATTTACTTTATTTCATCACATCAAAAGCAAACATATAGAAAGTTTTTACATTTTTCAAATTTTCTTAGTCTTCACATCAAATGTAATAAAATCAAAAAAGAAATTTATGCACAGAGGGAGAATGACAAAGATTTTAATAGAATTAAATCATTAATTAGAAATAACACTCATAGACCTCAATGTGACAAAGAAAGTGGGAGGGAAGAAGTAAGAAATACATATAGGGGGCATATACATACATGATCTATTATCTATATATATATATATATATATCACATCAAATCGCCTTCATCTAAATATATATATATAGGTGCTACATAGAAGAATCTGGAAAGCCCTCTAACTGCCGCGGCGGGCCCACCGCGGGATTTGAATACTGGATCGAACTCGTCGCCGGGAAGCAGCAATCGCAAGCTTCCGGGCAAGGCTTGGGCACGTCGCCGGAGACAGGCCGCCGGTGCGGAGGGGCAGCGGCCTCCTTGAGCGGGCCCCAGCACTCCACCTTGTTGAATTCCGGCAGGTTGGAGTGGAAGTATACCCAAACCGAAGCTTCCTGTAGTTCAGGGTGATTCTTCAACAAGCTCTCATCTCCATGGACAAAAGCCTTCAAAACCTTCCCATTTTAATTACCCAACAAACAACAAAAAAATTGTTACCAATTATCCCATATCTGCTAATTATGAATAAATAAACTTCCTAATAAATACTCTTTCCACTATTTAATGTATCAAAAAATTATACGGAGTAATATTTAATTTTTTTGAATAAACTTAATTAAATAAAAATAATAATGTACATTCGTATAAAAACGTCTTTATTAGCTTTGTTTTGTAGAAACTTTTAAAATTTTGTTTTATTAATACGTAATATAAATTTAGAATAATTAATGATTAAAGTTTGTCCAATTTAACTTACAAATACACACTTGGATGGAGGAGTATCTACATTTATTTTTTCAATGTATCAAGAAAATTGAAAGCCTTTTAAAAAGAAATGCATGAAGTATAAATAGCCACAGCATATTTCGAAATATTTGCACTAAAAAACACTAAAACTTAAGTCATTTTCTTAAATAACACTTAAATTGTTTTATTTTTTAAATAGCACTTAATAATGTTCATAATATCTAGTGATGACGAACATTTACTTGAATAGTGACTAATAGATAATGACTAAAAGTACTATATTGGAAAAAAACACATGTGATGCTACTTAGGGAAAGTCATTATGTTTTAGTGCTATTTATGTAAATTCTCCTTTCATTTATTCATTTTTTCAGTGTATAATGGACACCCTATACCTTATGAAAAAGCTCTTGAAAGAAAGAAAGAATGAATGATGTTGATGTTGGTTGAATTGACAAAGATTGTATGTGTGAAATCTTAGATAGGAGACTCACCACAGGGAGTTCTTTGGAGAAGATGAAGTACCTAAGCCTAGCACAAAGATCAAGCAAGAAATGGCCTCCACTTATGTGGCAATGGACATGGAGTGACATTTTCCCCTTCACCTTCTTCCACTCTGCAACCACCTCATCTCTCTGCAACCTATTATACCACCCTTGCAACTGCAAACCAAACCAAACCAAAGATTTCTCATTCTTCTTCTTCTAATGATAATATACTACGTATAAGAATTGATTGGACTATCTAATCGATTGGATTTAAAAATTGAACCTGGGAATTGTTTATGGTTTGGGAGATGGCAAGGGTGAGCTTGGAAGTTATGTCACTGTGTGTTAGTGTGTATGTTCTTGGAATCTTTTCTGGGTGCTTCTCCTTATCAACACCCAAATACAGAACCTTTAGCTTTGATGCTTCAAATATGGCTGGCCCAAATAGCCTTGCCACCTGAAATTCCCCCAAAATACAGAAAAAAGATCCAATCTTTAATCATTGTTCCCCCC